CATCTGTAGTCAAAGTGGGAAACGATTTTGTTGATGTCAGAATTCCCATTTCACACCTGTTCAGCAGACTCTCAGATTTGAGCATTTGCGATACTTAGCATGTCTTGAGGAACCCAAATACCCAAATACAGTGGGGTCTTGACTTACGAACGGCTCGACATACGAACGTTTCGACTTACGAACTGCTCTGGACTCGACTTGCGAACTTATTCGAGTTACGAACTCTTTTTTTCCTTTTTTTAAAAGCTAAGACATCTTAGGTTAAAAGGAAAAAAGAAAAAATATCCCCCTCTAGTGGCAGAAGGTGGAATAGCAGCTTCCCATTAGTTTCTATGGACGAAAAGAGCAGATATGGATTAAATGGTTTTCAATGCATTCCTATGGGAAATGAAGATTCGACTTACGAACTTTTCGACCTGAGAACTGCCTTCCACTACAGATTAAGTTCGTAAGTCGAGACCCCACTGTATGCGTGCATTGTAAAAATGCAAAGGCCTAATATTTATATTTTTGAAGAATATACACAGACACACTTAAGTCAATGTGGAAAAGATACATCAAGAAAAAAGTAGAAAATGTGTATATCAGGAAAAGCATACAGAAAATGCATGCACATTCCCATGTGGGAAAAACAAGGTTTGAACTGGGTACTAATAAAGGACTGAGTAAAATGCAGGTAATATTTGGCAAAATGCAACAAGACTGAAAACTTCTTACATCTTTAGCTAAACTGACTGGCAGCAACTTTCTAGGTTTTCGGTTTACGAATTAGACAGGAGTCTTTTCCAGTCCTGCTTGGAAATGCCAGGGATTGAATCCTGGACAGTTTACATGCAGAATACATGGTCTGCCACTGAACTACTGCCTCCAACTAGTGCTATTTTCTTAAGGCATTTCTGTTCACCATCTGTGTTCATTATGCTTCCTGTAAGTATCTGAATGATTAAAAAAAAGGGAAAAGTCTAGGGCATATAGCCAAAACTGCTGGATATGTAATCTTGTAGGACATTGCAGTGTTCATTTTTGAAGAAATAGAAATTCTCTGTGTTCTGTATTTTGGAAATGCAGAACCCAGTCCCATCTGGATACATCAGGCAGAAGTGAAATATGATTCACCTGATGATCTTTGCAAACGTCTTTTTCCCCCCTGTTAAGTGACTGTGTCTTTCTCTTGTGAGTCAAGGTAGAGACAAAGGGAATTATGTACAGTCACAACTTTGTACTTTTGAATATGACCAATGCGCAGTGCCAGAATGTTTATGATTAAAGTGGATGTCAGTACAGTATTTTATCTGTAATTACTGTGTCTCTGTGTAATTCCTTGTTGACCCTGTAATATCAGGCAATAGATTTAATATTTGATAACCTGTTACTTCTAGATGAACGCTTTTGTGATACGAATTCAGTTAAGTGATTACAAATGACTTGTCATAACTTAATTCACTAGTATTTGTAATGAGGCTTTCCTGCTGACAGAGGTTCAAGGATTAAGCAATGGACTGCAGGCTAATTGGAGAATTTAAGAGAGTGCTTGAAGCACTGTGGGGCAGTATATAAGCAGCACACTTTTCTTTTCTTTGCTTTTTGTACTTTGGAATGAAGGGAGACTAATATCCAGAATATGAAGAAATTATATATGGAGGATTCTGACATGTTATGTTCTTTGCGCTATTTTTGGGCGTGAAATGTTACATTTTGCCAAAATAAGTCTTTATTGAGCAAATGAGAGCTAATAGCTTTTGTCCACTTGGTTCTCCACATTATCCATTGTATGAATGCATCTTATCAAAACTAATCTTGAAACACTACGCTGCTCTGGCTTAGAAAATGATCACAACCTGTATTATGTTATCGTAGGTCTGGTTCTTGTTTTCTGTGGTGGAGAGAGTCTTATTATTTGTGTTGTTTGTTACTGAAATTATGCTAGTTGGAACTCAACTGGCGAAGTCCCTGTAGAGTATTAAGATTGTACAGCATTACTTCCAGTGTATTATCTTTTTGGTCTTATTCTGCTTATCACACTGTGGGTAGTTATGAATATGTGCGCTCTGTGGCTTCTTCCCCCCCCCCCACTAATGACATTTGATTCTCTTTTAATGTCCTTTTGGACACTGCTGAACTCTTGAAACAGTGTACTTAGTGTTGACATTTTGGAAATGGTGTTTGTCAGTAGATGTACTACCATAACTGGAATGATTACCAGAATATTAAAGACACAGCTTAGTGCAGCGTGGAAACATGAGTCTTTGGCAAGGATCCTAGAAAGGTTCATGACCCTGTAATTTGGCAGCCCTTCAGCATCCTACCTGAACCAGCTAGTTTGAGGAGACCTAGGTAGAGAATTTTTTTATTGTTGTTGTTTTTGTTTTTGTTGACAGTATACTGAGTGTTGAGGTACATTCTTCTTGAAGAAGTGGCATGAGTCTAAAAATGTTTGTTTTGATGTGATTATACTGTTCTAAATCAATAAATAAACAGAAATGGTACTGCAAAATATTTCATGGGTGGATAACCTTAACAGTTATCAGCCAAACAAATTATTGCCATAACAATGAACAAATTGGCTGGTTCTCATAAGAATGTAACTCTGAAATCAGTTGTAATCATGACCTTGGTAATATGTATGCCAGTATAAATTTATCAAAATATAAATAGGATCTGACTATGGAAGATGGTAGAAAGGAAAATGATGGGTTTCCCTTTCAGATGCTTGGTGATCAGATAGCATTTTCCATTGTTGAGTCTGTTTTACTGCTTTCTAGGGCAAATGCAGCTATATCAGGCATGCATTTGCCAGTGAAACTGTTGTAATCCATCATTGCATGAATATTTTCAGTGTCATACAAATGTGAGCTTTCCAAAGCATCATTTTTTAGAAGTTGGTCTTAAATTGTCCCATTTATGTTGCCCATTACCTGAATGGGCAACATAAATGGGACAATTTAGTCATTAAAGAGTTAGACATAATCTATACATTTGTAATAGAAATTATCTTAGTTTCTGTCACTGAATTGAGAATAAGAATTGCTGGATCAAATCACTGTTTCAGCCAACCAAATATCTTGCCTCAGTGTAAGCTCTGGCTAACTGGATGCTCTGGGGAAGCCATGACAGCCTATTCAGGCAGTCACCTTCTGTTTCTTACTTCCTTCTTCTACTATTGGTAGTCAGAAACATTTATGGCTGCTGGCAGATCTGGTCTGTGAAATGATCTTATCCCATGAAGTTAAACTAAAGGCGAGAAATGTTGGCTCAATAATATCTTGGTAGCCACAATATCCTCATCCTACCTTAAACAATACTTTTATTGGTCATGGGATACCTTTTTATTTATCCGAGTTTAGGCACCACTGAATTGAAAGAAACAGACTTCCGAGTTGACATGTACTGTGTTGTCTTGTAAACCTTCAGTCATTCTGTTAGTTTTTAAACTTTAATGCGCGGTTTGGTCTAAGATGCATTGAAAATACAGTTCTTCAGGGCCAGATTCCTATTAGTTATTTACTCCAGATTAAGAGCGGAGGCAATTTGCAGACAGTTAATGATTGGCCATGTATGCCCTGTTGTGTGCCAAATCATTTAACTGGCAGTCAATAAGGAATACAAGACTTGCTGACTAGCAGGATTTGGCAACTGCAATTTAAGCCATGCAGTTTGGGCAGCATACATAATCAAGGATTCTTGCCATTGTATCTCAAGATGGGGTTCAAATGTTAATTCTAAATACAGAGTTGGGGTAGCATTTGTGTTGTGACATTTTTTTTCAGTTCTGGAATATTTATCCATAGTTCACAGTATTTCTCAAAGAGCGTGTTTACATTTACATTTAACTTGCATTAAGCTCCATTCTAAATGGAATCGTAGAAATCATGTGTTAGTCACATAATGTTTGGATCGGTATCTGTGTCCTCTTGGGAAAAACTTGATTCATTTAAGCTGTGTTGTATCTTGGTTGAGGGGGCTACACTGGCTTTTAGAATTATTGCATTTGAGGTTGTGTCCTTTTGTCTGCCCACCCAAACCTCAAATTCTCCACTCAACCCTGCTGCTGTGGTGAGAGAGAGGAAGAGGGAAGGTCTACTGATGAAGCTCCTGGTCCGTTTAGAAAACCTGGCTGCTTCTGTCACTTTAAGAATGCTGCTTCTGTCACTTTAAGAATGCTCCCCGCGAGGCAGGGAGAAGCAGCATATGTGAGCCAGTCCAATCTTGAGGGAGGCAAATGGGAAAGCCCATGTTGCAGGGTTGGAGGAGTGAAGAGCTCCTTCTAGTCCCTAAAAGCACTATCTCTCTGTGCCTCTTTTCTTTCCGGGAACAGCAGGTGCATTCTTAAAGGGACAGCCTACAGCAGGAGCATGAAGTGACTGTGAGAGAAAGATTGAACAAATCCTCCCTGCACCTGCCTGATCCTCTTTCCTTCCCCCAGCTGCGATGCTGCTTGTTGCTGCTGCCTCTGCTGGTTATTTGAAAGTGCAGTTCACAGCGACAGAGGGCTTTATATATATGGAAACAATAGAAACAAATCGGTTTTCACCTGTGTGCTAAAATAAAAAACTATCTGGCAGAAGAACATTTTAAATTGCTTTCCAATCAGAAAACATGCTTCCCTGGCAAAATAATTCATTCTTCTGTTTACATTCTGGAGACACCTTATTTTAAACTGCTTTTAAAAAAATGCTATATGCTATATTAATAATAGTTCTTATTGTCAGTGAGATCAAGCCCCAAGTCTGTCCTTGTAGCAGTCTTGTAAGTGAAATAAGTCTGAGAATATATTGCCAAAATGTATCCTGTATCTGAGTTGAGTCAGATTGACTTTGATGAGGGTTGCTTCTCAGATATGGAGTCACATAATGGCCAGTAGGTAATTTACAACAGCTTTAAGATGTTCCTTCCGTATCTTCTTTGATACTGTACTTGGATATTACAAGTGATGAGAGCAAGATAAAAGCTACATAAACTCTCTTGCAATGTGTTCTTACTTCCATTTTTCTCTCTTTCAGTTCCTGGGCATAGCATTTCTTGGAATCGGGCTGTGGGCATGGAATGAAAAGGTAAGTTGGACATTGAGTCAATTAAATTTAATTGCTCCACCCCCATGTTGCCTTGATTAGAACTCCGTATAATATAAACAATACCATATTGAGTATTTCTGGGGCACAAATAATAAAGTTCAGACTAGCAGTGGAGAATGTGACTCACCATATGTTTATTTTTCTGCATCTTCCATCAGTCTTCAGCAGTAGCAATGCTGGCTAAGACTCATGGGAGTTGCAGTGGAGCACCATATGTTCTCTGTCTTTGGCTACGCTCTAAGGGGATGCTGTGATAAGCAAAACCAACTTCAGATTGCAGATTCAGACTGTTTTTGGTGGTCACTTGTAAATCATGGAGAAATGTCATGACAGACCATGGTTCATGATTTGCCTTGACTCTGTGTGTGTGTTTGTGTGTGTGTGTGTGTGTACGTACGTACGTACGTACAGTGGTGCCTCGCTTAACAACGTTAATTTGTTCCAGCGAAATCTGTAGAGCGAAAATGTCATAAAGCGTAAACAAAAACCATTGAAACGCATTAAAACCCAGTTAATGTGTTCCAATGGGCTAAATACAAAGATACTCCAATGGGCTAAATACAAAGATCCGTCATACAAACTACTGAAAAAAATTCCCCCATAAACTATGTAGCAGGACTGGAACCATGGAACAGAGGCAGTGCTAAAAATGTCTCATCCATTTAGGCCATTGGCACAGCGTTAACACCTCAATAATGTATTTTAAAGCCCTGCCAGTTCACTTAGCTCCAGCTGAAAGAATTATCCCCCCAACCCCCAACATGGTCTCTCTCATTTACGTAAGATGTCTCTAGTGTTCTTTCCCTCTGAAAAGCAGATAGAGAAGGGAAGAGAAACAGCAAGACCAGGACTGCCTGATTGTGAAGAAAGCTGACAACAACTTATCTGGTGCTTCAGATTCTCAAATAAAGTAGTAATGATACTAATTTGAGTATTGGGGGGGGGGATAGTATTTATTTATTTATTTATTTATTTATTTATTTATCTATTTATTTATTTATTTATTTATTTATTTATTTATTTATTTATTTATTTATTTATTTATTTATTTATTTATTTATTTAAAAATTCTCACTACAGTACTTTATAACGAAGGTATTACCAGAGCTTTTCCAGCAGGTATTTATTTGTTGGTATGATAGTGCATAGAACCACAGTATGAACTCGATTACCCAAATGCAGTCTGACTTAACTAAAACTCTGTTGGTAGAGCCGACTTCTTTAATGTAGTGACAGTCCTAGGGGAAACAACACAGGAATGTTTTAGGGCTGGTAGAGACGTACTGTGTATTGAGGATGATGATCATAATTCTAGTGGTACCTTTGCAGCTGTCTGTATGCAGATTGTTTTTTTTTTTAATGGGAGAATTTTCAGGGTATTCAACTCGCCACTTGCAATCTGAAATAGTCCAGTACAGGATGAATTTTGCCTTATGATTATTTGCTTTATTATATCTGTAAGTGTGTTAGTTGATTTAACTGATAAGCTCTGGATAGCTATAGCATTAGGCTTCTTAAGTGGATTTGGTTGAGTGGCAAGTTTATATTTTGGAGCTTCTATGTGCTATTTAGTTTTTTAAAAATGTATTTCCTGCTGCTTTAAGTGCATTGCACTATGTGGTTACACACTAAGAGAAAAGAGGGATCCTGCTGCTGCTGATCAGCGAATGCAGTCCCTGGTTGTGAGAAATAATTAACACTCAGTAATCTATTTTCGGAGGCATTGAAACCCAGTTACCTAAACTTCACTCTGCATTTTGTTCTGCAGTTTGTCTAGATTATGGTTATGAAGATGTGCTGATCCATAATTTGAAGCCTGATATGTGGATCCATAGATGCATAATCTGCACAACCTTCTTCCTGTATCACAAACATGCCTATAGTTAATAGAATGCAGTATAAAATTAGACAATTCAAATACATTTGAAATTGGTTTATGAAAATAACACTGTAGAGCTTAGGTAAATTTATCAGATACGGTAATTTTTGCCCAATTAACTGTTAACCTCAAAAGCGTTTGGGGCATCTTGCATCATATCATCCATAATACACATTGAGGGTCATAGACTGCACTGATAATACTGTGACATTTTCTGTTCTTTCCAGCACTCGGAGATGTTGGTGTGTAATCTTAAACACTTACATATTGAAGAGTCATCATTAGAGATGACAGTATTCATACGAATATGAATATCTCCACACAGCTGGACTTAACGAGGGGCCAGCCCCTGGGACCAAAACATCCACTCATGCATCCTGCTGCAGTGGTGGCCTTGTTCATCCTTCCAATTGCTCCAGGAGCACCACTCTCTTCCCACTCAGCAGCTGTGCAGAGATTATAGGAGCCTCATGGCACAGTGGTTAAATCGCTGTACTGCAGCTAAAACTGCTCACGACCTGGGGTTCAAATCCCAGGTAGCTGGCTCAAGGATGACTCAGCCTTCTATCCTTCCGAGGTCGGTAAAATGAGTACCCAGCTCGCTTGGGGGGGGGCAATGTGTAGCCTGCATAATTAAATTGTAAACCGCCCAGAGAGTGCTTGAAGCGCTATGGGGCGGTATATAAGCAGCACGCTTTGCTTTTTTTGCTTTTTTTGCTCTTTCTCCCTCCCCTTGCCTGGAGTGGCCAGCTGAGCGGAAAGAAAGTGGTGCTCTGGGAACAATAGGATGGATGAGTGGGGCTGCTACCTCAGCAAGAAGTGTGAGTTAAGTCCAGCTGTGGGGAGGGGAAATTCATATACAAATACCCCCATCTATAGTCAGCCTCTTAAGGTCTGGGCTATGAAGCTAGGATAGCCACTTATACAGCACCAAATGGAGAAACCAAGAAGAGATTGAGTTGCATAAAATTGCATATGCTAATTTGTATGTGCAGATACATACTTTTTATACTTTTAAAAAAATTACAGTGCCTCTCACACTGTGGGAAAGATAATGACTTGTGTGCCTGTCAAGTCTGCTTGTCAACCTGGCCTATCTTACAAAAGAATTGTTGTATGGATAAATTGAAGAGAAGGACACCATGTATGCTGCTTTGTGCTGATTTTCCATGATATTGCCGTTGTGGGAATGGATAAATTGAAGAGAAGGACACCATGTACAGTATGCTGCTTTGTGCTAATTTTCCATGATACTGCCGTTGTGGGAGGAAAAAAAGCATGTACAGATTTCCTCATTTATTACACTTTGCGTGGATTTCCAAAGTGCTCTGAAAACTGCCTTAGCACTGGAATAAGACTAAAGCACATTGCCATCTTTCTTTTGGTTAAATATGTGTGGGTATTCATATTCTGGATTTTTTGTTGGCAGTTTCAAAGGTTCCTTTAATCTGCCCTCTATTATGTTGCAACAAATGTTTGGGTAGAAATAAAATGTAAAAATTATTCTATATGAGCTGGGAAGTTCTCTGAAGCAAATTCAGTTAATTTTAATATTTAGAAAGTGAAGCATTTGCAGTCTTCCTAGAAGTTCAAAAATAGAATTCTGAGCATTAAGTTCGTGCTGTAAATTTGAACAGGAATATTCTATACTTTTAATTTTTTCAAAGAAGGTGCTGAGAGTATTTTTCTGGATTTAATTCAATCAGAATCTGTTCTAGGGCCATTGTCAACCAGTTAAAAGTTTAAAAATTTGCATATGCTAATTTATATTGGTATATGCAGATTATACAATTTATCTGAATTTTTCAGAAGGTAAAATGTGTCAGTTTCTTTTCTAAAGTCATTTTCCATAAAACCAATTCTTCCAATTAATTTTTATCCTACCCTAGATCATCCCACACCAATAGTTTCTCTCTTCAGTTACGATCAAGTCATGATGGTATGAAGTAACTTATCTCACAGATAAGAATGGCTAACATTTTTTCCCTCCATGAGTTTTCCTTGCACCAATTTAGAGAGGAAAGGGTTTGCTTGTTCTTATTCTTGCCAGTAGCCAGCTAAAAACTTGCCCAACAGTTGGGCTGTTGCAAATTAGCATTGCAAACAACAAATCTGTCTGAACTGTTAGTGATGTGCATGAGTCATGGTGTGGATTTAACAATCTTTCCACTTGGTTATGAAAAACGTGTACATTGTTAGCTGCTCTGAATATCTTTTGTCTTTGTAGGATATAAATATGAAATATCTGCAATTGATGACCTGTAATTTTGTTATTTGGACAGCATATTAAAACTCCTATTAGAGAGAGAAATGGTTCCTTTCAGACTGATAATACAGTGGTGCCTCGCAAGACGAATGCCTCGCAGGACAAAAAACTCGCAAGATGAATGGTTTTGGCAATGGGGTTGATGACTCGCAAGACAAATATTCCTATGGTCGTGCTTCACAAGACGAATGTTTTCCGTTTTTTGTTCCTGCCTCTTGTTTGCTGATTTTTAAATGTTTTTCTATGATGTTTAAAAAGTTAAAGTTTTTTGATTGAAAATTTTTAAATCATCTGCACAATATGTATGGCTTTAAAGAGCACTTAATAAGCCCTTTGTAAACCAAATTTGACTTTGTTCTGACTTTTTTTGCCCATAGGAACACATTAATTAAATTTTAATGCATTTCTATGGGAAAACACGTTTCACAAGACAAATTTTTCACAAGACAACATTAACCACAGAACGAATTAAATTTGTCTTGTGAGGCACCACTGTATACATAAGGGTATTGAAAGAGCTAGTGGATCAAAGCTTTCAGTATTTAATACGTTTTGTGCCATCTTAAAGACTAAACAGCCTTGTTTGGCATATGTTTTTGTGAACTATAGGTAACATTATCAGATGTTTCTTATGAAGTGGGCTGTGGCCCATCAAAGCTTACAGTATGATGAATTAGCTTTCTCTAAATTGTTAGTCTTCAAAGTGCTGCAAGATGCTTCTTTTCACTTCAAGAGATACACCTCTGGAAATAGAAATAATCACTGTTGACCTGCCTCACTGTCTCTTTACAAGCTATGCTGGTTGCAAAGAGATTGAAGAGTTGCATTGTGGCT